GAAATGCCCCTTGATTAGATTTAAATTAGATCCATTGCCTAAGCTACAGCCTTTCAATTATTTTAAGAGGAATTTGTATTTCCTCTGAACCCACCAAAGAAACCCTCAGGGCAACATCCAAGAGCAGTTTGTGCAGAGAGAAGGGAAGCAGGATTTTCATGAACGATCTATTCCACACAATCCCGAGAGAAAAAGGCTCTTTTTCTGTCTTGAGAAGAGGCTCCCTTTTGTACTGTGAGTAAACACGCTTAGCATTTAGTCTCACAACCCAAAGTGGTTAGGAAGGCTTTACCCACGGAGCTTGGTTGGCAGACAAAGAGCAACCTTCGAGCTGGAGATGTGGTCCTTCTCTTCTAGCCTCCCTCCACCACCATTTTTACCTGATTTGGGGTAGGTGACGAGAAGGACATCCGAGCTGTGAAACTGAAAGTTGCTGGCAAAGCGGAGAGAGTCCTGAGTGTGGAGGTGCCCAGGGAGACGTATGTTGGCAAAGACCTCCGTCACATCCAGCCGAGCCATCTCGCTGGCAGCAGGAGGCCCCTTTGCACTCCTGCAGCAAGAGCCAGCGAGAACCTCCCTCTTTCCTGCTCAGCTCGAGGAGGGAGGTGCCCTTTCAAAGCTCTTTTTGCTTTTCTTACACACACTGCAAGCCAAAAACCATTTGCTTTGGGGTGCCAAAATTGTTGTTAGCAACAACTGCCTGTGGATTCAGAAGGGCAGCACTTTCGTATCTCTGGAAACAGAGTGGGACCTTCCTTAAAATCAGAATTTCCTAATTTTTGTTTGGTCTTTCCAACTGCTTTTGATCTTTCAGACAAACTGGATGCCTTGGAATGGGTGATTTGCAACATGCCGGCCTCCTCAGTTTTCATGGCTGATTATTTTATTTCAAATCCTTTTTAAAAAATGTAAATGGGAGGACAAAGGATAGATTATTCATTGAGATGAAAGCAGATCAACAAAGCAGCGAGGCACATCTGGTCTGTTTCTACTCTCTGTGAAGAGGAACCCAACTAGCAAATCTTAACCTTAATTTTAAAAAATAAATGGTTTGAAACGCATGGCATTGTTGGCTTATGAGCAGAGAAACTGGGAAAGTGTGGGTGGATGGCATTATATTCATAAATGTACGTGGAAAAAACACAGCACTGTGGTAAGGTGTGGAAAAGGCTTCCTGTGGGTTGCTGGTATCTGGTTTCACTTTGTTTTCTCAGCTTCATTGTTATTACTACAAGAAAGGAAAAACCTGATTGGTTTGTTATGGTAGGAGAACCATATAAGAACTTGTCAGAAAGGTATAAAGAGAGAGATTAAGTGAAAATGTATGACTACGCCCAAGGTAACTTAAAAAATGCAACAGATTAGGGAAGCTAACTGTAACATCATTGCATTTTATGTCTGACGTTGAAGTCCATCCTTAAGGAAATCTGTACCCCTCCCACGTGCAAATGTATGCCTTTTTAATTTCCAGCGGTCTAGCCATGATAGTCTGTTTGCAGCAAGAACAGCAATGCACAAATTTATGCAGCCATAAATACAACTTCAGCGCTTGATGTTCCTTCTGCTACCCCCATCACCCTGTTAGCAAAATTTGAGAGTTTCTGACTCTCCCCAATTAGGATTCAGTCCGGCAGAAGATCAAACACGAAAGTACCAGCTGAGATTTTAAAGTTTTATTGAAAGCTTGCCAATTGAGTCAGCTGGGGTCCCC